AGCATTTCATGACAACAGCATTGACATATTCAATAACAGTTTCCAGAGCTACCTTGCATCTGTTTCAAGATTGGCTGTAATTTTTAGGTTTACAGTTGAATTAATACAGTTATACAATATTGTACTCAGTATAAACCCTTTAAGACATAAAATTAAATGAGGTTACTGTGATCTTTTTAAAGGAAATTTTTGGTGAGCTTGTTTCTTAAAAGACATCGAAATTCTATAAATCTGTAAGTCTAACATGTAAACAATAACAGTTTTAGATCCAAATTGTTTTCTGCCCCAGGGAACACAAAATCCAGCAAGTGTATAGATAAAAGGCCAAGATCTATCTGCTCACATGGATGAGTGAGTGAGCAGCTGGCATTTCTCTGAAACACTTAGAAACTCAAGGATGCACTGTAAGTCATGAGATTTCAAACACTTGAAATTAGTTGATTTTTAGCCTCCTTTGAACCTGTTTCAGTTCCCTAATCCAATACTGACACAGGTAGCCTCAAACATGGAAAATTCTGCTTACAACATGAACCAGATCAAACTCTCTGTGTGTGTGTGTGTGTGTGTGTGTGTGTGTGTGTGTGTGCATGCGCGTGCCTGTGTGTATGTTTCTGAGTGTGCACGTGTATGTGGAGGCTAGAGTTCAGCCATAGGTTATTGCTCCTAGCTGACAATTTTTTCAGAGTCTCATTGGCCAGGAAGTTACCTAGTAAAGCTAGGTTGGCTGGTCTGTGAGCCCCAGGGATCAGATTGACCTGTCTCCACCACCTCCACAGCACTGGGATTACAAGTGAGTGAAACACACCAGATTTCTCACATGGGTTCTGGGGTTTGAACTCAGGTCCTAGTGTTCATAAGACAAGCACTTCATGGACTGATTGAGCCATCTCCTCAGTCCTAAAACTTTTTCTTTTTTGAGGCACTCCCTAGTAGCCCCAGTTGGTCTGAACCTCACAAGGATGCACCTGCCTCTGCCTCTGTCTCCTGAGGCTGGGATTAAAGGTTTGCATTTATATTGCTCATCTAGTAACTTTCCCATTAACCAACATCTGTCCTCCCTATAAGCCAGAATAGGTAAATCTGTACATCTTAATCATGGTGACACTTTCCCTTGCTAGAGTCTAGGTTAGAAATGAGCAAGAAGTACAGTGCTAGTCAGTGAGATGTGAAAGTTTTGCAAAACATCTTTGATCTTTGGGAAAAGGCTTTTATGTTCCTAGGGAACCAATAAAGGCCTCAAGAGGTGGTTGTTCCTGGATATGATGCTCAAGTGTTCTTGCAATCACCTAAATTAGGCAGGATAAAGTCACCAGCAGGCATAGAAAAGTAAAGGAAATCATAGAGGAACCAGAACTCCAGCTTTCTTAAGCTGAGCATGACCCTGCTTCCAGATTCCGGGTTTCATGGCATAAAAATATGCCCTTACTTTGAAGTCTTGCTGATATATGCAATTAATTTTTATAGTTTAATGTCATCTATCAAAAAGGGAAAATTTGGAGCACAATGACTAATGGAGCAGCCTCATGGCCCTAATCTAGTGTGTATTTGGCATTTGGGTTTGTGACACAATAAATCACCTGTCAAAATACCTGTCAGTGTTGGATCACAAGCTGGTGTCTTTTTAGTGAAGGAATAGAAGGAATGTTTTACGCCATATCTCAAATAGCACATCTACGAATAAGAAATGGCATCTTAATCTTTTCCCCTGCTACTTCAGGACGCTTGCTCAACTCTTAAAACTCCAAGTTCAATTGCCAGGCCACATACCAATCAAGCATATCATTTTTTGGTCCACTTTGATTATACCACTGGTGAGTTTCTAGTTGTATAATGATTTCCTTAAAGGAAAGGTGTGTATTATCTTTCATATTAGGAAGTTAATAGTTGAAGGGAGAGAATACGAATAGAACCCAGGATGCTCCCAGCCAGACCTGGTGCTGCCAGGGAACCGGGTGGAACGCATTTCCGTTTTCCTGTGCTTACAGTTTTGTTTTCTATTTTTTTTCTTTTTAGGCAGGGTCTCACTATATAGCTAGCCTGGAACTCACTATGTATGCCAGATTGGCCACCAGCTCAAAAGATCTACCCACCTCTCCCTCCTGAGTGCTATGATTAAAAGTTTGTACCACCATGCCCAACTTCTGTGCTTACAGTTTTTATCAGAAATTTCTAGGCAGTGGAATGAGAAAGTTAGTCAATGTGTTCTTTCTTGCTCACTACCAGCCTGAACGCTTATGATTCCAAAAGCTGCAAGTTTAAATCAGAAAAGTACTCAAGTCGTTGTCATTTTCAAAACTGCTTGCCACTGGCTCTTTCCTTAGATCACCAAGATCCAGTTATGTGACTCATAAGAAATGTCCATTTCCTACATTTCCATTGTGTGTTGATGCAGATAAATGTAGATGCTCATCAGTGACTTAGGAGCTGCATCAAGCCCTGGAACATCACAAACTAAATTGCTCAGGAAATGTAAGAATATCTGGTCTGAGTCTCTGAAGCAAGCTGGAGTGAGTTTGTTGTTGTTGTTGCTGCTGTTTTGGTCTTTTGGAGACAGGGTCTCCCTGTAGCCCCAGCTGGCCTGGAATTCACAATGTAGACCAAGCTGGCCTGGAACTCACAGAGATCTGCCTGCCTCTGCCTCCCAAGTGTTGGGATTAAAGGCATGTGCCAACACGCCCAGCTTTAGAGTGAGTTTTGATGGATACCTTTTCTCTGAGACACAACTCTCCCTTTGTCAGAATTCAGATGTGAATGCAATGTTAACAAAATTAGGTCCTTAGGTCAGTAAGTAGGAGTCTTGGAATTATCACTAATATCTATGTAAACTTGAATATGAAATCTCATTTTTCTGGGCTTCTATTTCCTCATAGCTGTCAAAAAAAGAGTTCATTGATCACTAAACATCGCTTTTGTTGAATCTTCACAAATGGCTACCAATTTCACAGATTAAAACAAGCTACCTAAGGTGATGGCTAATAACAGCATATCTTTACCAAGGGCTAGGCACTGCTTAACATTAGCCACAGGGTAAGAAGTAGCAGGAGGATTCAATCCCAGGTCTGACTATCAAGGCCAGTTTTTCCGACATCACTAATGAGAACTCTCCTTAGAAAACCAACCTGCTCACTGGTAACAGTGATAGGTTCCTTGAGCACGATCCAGGTCACACATTCCAGCAGAGGTGGAGTGGTCAGAGAGCCAGAGTATGTCCAGTAGTCCAAGTTTCCAGGAAGGAGGCAACGAGGATCAAAGTTAGCGAAGTTAACACTCTTCCCCTACAGAGCAAATACACAGGAGAAAGTCATCACCAGATCAGCTCAGGGCAGTAGGAGAGTCCAGCATCCATTGGTCTAATGACCTCTGACTGGAAACCTTTTGCACAGAGGGCCTAGGTTTATTGGCAAACAAAATGAAAAGAACTGATAGAAGACATTTCACTTGGAAGCACAGATTGGCAGGTAGGAGCCAGAAAAACTATGTTTCATTTTGTCAAAAACCAATCCCATAGGTTTTCCATTGTCATGAATTGATTATACAGAGTATATAAAGTGATACTGCTACCTCTAAAATGATAAAAATAACTTAGATTGCAATAACAGAAAAATAGGCTCTTTGAAGGAGAGTAGGTGTTAATCTTGCCATATAGATCAGAACTAAAAATTCATTCAACTCTGGACACTCATTTGAAGCAACAGATGCAAGCTGGAATGCTTTGCTGGAAGTTGTGAGATTTTACACTGTTGCTTCCCCTTCTTTTGCAGAGATGAGGTTACATGAGAATAAATGAAGGGAGCTAGAGATAATGAACAGGGGAACAGGGGAGATAAAAAGCCAGGAGAGAGAGTAGGGCCATGTGGAAAATGGACCAGACTTATTATATATGATTTAAGAGGTGCAAGATAGGGGCAGAGATTGTAGATTGCATAAGCTGGTGCTGTTTCAATTTGAAGATGAGCTTTGTATAGTCAGGGTGCCAGAGTGATTGAGTTCCCAATCACTGGAAGAGTTTAAGTGGATGCTCAACACAGCTACATTGCACAGAAAGTTTAAACACAGAATGAATGAGCTCAAAGGGTCATGGATATAAATCTCCATGAACAGGCCCTTGTCCATCCTGTGTTCCTATGAATCTCTTGGATTAGCAAGGTGATCATTATAGAGTCTGTACTCCACAAGTCCTTGCTGTATGAATCACTGAATGGCTTGACTTGGTAATCATTCAGGCTCCTTGCCTGACATTGACATTCTCTGGTTCTTGATTTTTGTAGGCTTAAATGATGGAAAGCAACAGCACGTATTGAAAAGTCATAGAGTTTACCACAATTAGGATCAAGAGTTATAGAAAGAAAAACTAAATACATACAAGCAATTATTTACCTACACCAAACTTGTTACAAACACCATGCCACCAAAAAGACTATTCATTCTGATCAAAGGAAATTTCTAAAATCAATGCAGTGTTGGAAAGAGTTACCTTTGTTTTAATGGACTGCAGTGCATCAAGGACTTGCTGAAGACCTGGTGTAGCAGGGCCGATCTACAGAAAAGTGTGAGGGAGATCTTATGAGCTGATTGGCATTATAATAGTTTTTATTTGGGTAACATTATTATAAAATTTCTCCAAAAAAAAGAAGCAAAGTCTACCACTTAAACATGTTATGTGTCATTCTTGTCTTGAAAATGTTAACATAGGATTTCTGGAAGTCATTGACTCTAGCTTGTCTCTGCTTCTGTCTTTATAGCTTCCCAGAAACTACCTTCTCAATGTCCCCAGTGACCTCCAACTGCTGAGCCAATGGTACTCAAGAGATTATCCCACTTGACCCTCTTGAGGGAGCTCACATTCTTGTCCTACCTTCCTTACACAAATTGTTTTCTGGTTTTCCCCATATCCTCTAGCCTTCCTAACATCTCTTGACTCTTGTGTTCCCTTTCAATCATTAATAAACATTCTGCCTCTGGTCAAAGGCCTTGCATTAGCAGTTTCTCAGGACTACATACTGAGCAGTTTTATCATCCTGCTCTTCCTGCTGTTTTTGGATGACTTCATGAACACCTGCAGCTTTCTCTCCAGCACACAACACCAGGCTCATGAGACACCCCCATCAGATTGTTCTACACTCCCTTTCTAACTGGCTGGGGGTAGCTGAACCTGAGAAGTTTCCACCATTGCTTGAAAATTGTTAACACTGAGTCACAGACCCCCACACTCCCAGAACTTGATCTCACTTTAGTACTGTCTATCATAAAATATTACCATCATAAATTTAGTTGAAGGTTCAGTTAAAACAAACCAAATCCGATTGGTCATCTTCAGTTTACCTCTACCTGTTCTTCACACTAATATCTAAATGGTTTCTAGCTGATATACCCCAAAGATATCCAAAGGGGAAGCACAGAGAGATGGAGGGAGAATTAAGCCTGAAAATACTACAGAGCAAAAGCATTTCCTCAGTTTTTTGTAGAATGTCCTCTTTGTTACGAACAGTCTCTCCAGTCAATCCTTCTTAAATGAAGAAAAACAAGGAATTGGGCCATCAACTAACCTTCAAAAAAATACCCAAAACAGCCAGTCCATCTGGTTGCTGCACAGCTTTTCCAAAATCCCCATATTTGGTGTTCCAGTGAACCAAATGAAGCTACAGTCATGGAAGACAAAAATCAGAGTAAATGAGTCACAAGATAAAAGCCAACAGGCCTCACCCCATGAAAAGCCTTCCCTCTATAACTGGAGGCTATCAAAGAGAAAATATGGATACTTTAAGGTAATTTTTTTCATTTAATTCTAATTAAACACTACTTGATATAATGGCTCATGACTTCATCAAACAGCTCTAAGACAAAGGAATGTAGAATTTTGAAAAAGGCACAAACATCATTTATAGATTTATAATAAAAAAAATTCAATGCTGTTCTCAAAGCCTTAATGATACGATAAAGGTCCCAAGAAATGGATGTGAACGTCCTTTGCAAAAGGAGTTGTTTACTTGGTGTGAGCAGAACTTACAAAACTGAACTCTTGAAATGAATGCTAAATATTTCTAAGCACTTTTTCCTGTAAATGAGAAACTGTATCTTACCTCTGCAGCGTATTTCATTTTGTCCACAGTGTGTTCAGAGCCTTGCCCATCAGATGAACCCCAGTGAAAGTGAAACTGGATCAATCTGTAGGTGCCGTGGAGGGGTCCTCCTTTCAGCACTGAAATTACAAAGCATGCATGTAATATCTGTGTGCAAACACATACACATATATCCATGTGGATACATAGCTATACACATACTGCACAAGCTCACGAAACACCCACAACAAATTATTGTCATCTTTAATCCCATTTTATAACACCGAATATATGATAGCCACAGTTTTGCTCTATGAAAATTAAATCTAGACTTAAGGTTAGTATAGATTGCTGACTAAAATAATTTCAACTGCTTTTTTTTAAATTTTGATGTTATTTTTATTTTATGTGTATGCATGCATTGCCTGCATATAGGTAAGTGCATCCGTGTCGTGCAATGCCTGGAGAGGTCAGAAGAGGCTGCCGGATCCCCTGGGACTGTAGTTACAGACAGTTGTTAGCTGTCATGTGGGTGTGGGGATTCGAACCCGGGTCTTCTGCAAGAACAACCAGTGTTCTTAACCGCTGAGCCATCTCTCCAGCCCTTCAACTGCTTTTTATCATTCTTTGTGCTAGCTGATAGAGGAATGTCCTGCCCTTCTTTGCTAGATGCAGGGTATGTCTCTTGTGGCACCTCAGGTTTAGTTGTAGAGAGAGGATGTTTTACGTAGAATTAGCACTCACTTAGCTGACCACTTGAGAAAGGCCAGTGAAGTTACCTATGAACCTAAGGACACAGTCCTTCCATTGAGACCCAAAAATTGCCCTTAGGCCTGTTTGCTAACCTCATACCAGTTCTGACACACCAGAATTTGTGAAACAATAAACATTCCTTTGATCAAAACATTATAAAATCTAATTGTGCTTACACTGACTAAACTGGATTTGTCCCGATTTTTTATTGAACCCTTTGGACCTTACTTTCCTCACCTGTGAAATGGAGGCATTCAATTATTTATTTTGTCACTAGTTACCTATCTACCATCTCCTATATGTAGTTGCAAATTCATTATCTCAAGAAGTCAAAATTCTAACTATAAAAACTACCTCCAGGTTCTCTATCCTGGAATTGACTTTAGTCAGTAAATTAGCACCAAAACCATGTTCTTAGACACTTCCATGTGCAGAAAATTAACAACTGTGTCTTGAAAGAGGATGACAAGGGAGGAAATCACATTAAATTTTGCCTAACTTCTATGTAATGATGAGCTTTAATTAATTTACTTAAATGCTTTTGGAAGTAACTCAGTTCTGCTGTTTTATTTTTCTAGGGCTAGACCTAAAACGTCTATTGCTTTAAATACATTTTATTACCCTTGGTCTATAATTCTGCAAAATAATAAGTTAGACACTACTGTGAATTTGCAAAAAAAAAAAAAAAAGGACAAGTTCTGCATAACAAATTGTTGGCTTCACTTCACTTAAATATGCTTCCCTGGTAGCAATACCCATTCATCTATTCAAAGTAAAGGATGGAGCTGGCTGGGATATGCAATATGGCCTTTCCTTAGGGACTACACAACTACTGGCTGCCAACTCTTTCAGTGGGCCAAGAGAAAACAGGAAGAATGAAAACAGAAAGAATGAATCATAAGTGGTGTTATATTACACATATGATAAGAGATGGAGTTTGTATGTATTCTGATAGAAGCATAAAAGCAACTAACTATAAACACTTATTTTCAATCTGACAGTACTGCAAGGAAAAGATTAGTCTCAATCTCCCATATTGGGTTTTATCAGAAATGATCAAAAATCCCCTTTTTCATAATAATATACCCTCAAGAATGAAATATATCTTTATGAAACAATTTGGTTCTGAAAAAAAATCCTTTATTCTAACTCCTCAAAGCTAGTAACCAGTTGACTGATCATTAGCAGCAAATTCATTTATAGCATCACTAGAACAGCCAAGGAGCTAAACTAAGTAAATAAAACTGTCCTAAGCATCTGAGATGTCTTTTTCGTCGCTCCTCAGGAGATTCAGACCAGCATCTTACATTTTAAAGTGTCTAAACTTTTCCATTATTATTCTCTCCTTTGTTGACCTTAAAACTGCATCTTTATTTACTTGTTTCAGAGAACACTGAATTAGAGGAGTTTACATATATATTTTTATTTTAAAAGGCTCTGTGAACATTTTTTTTAATGCTCTGGGTTCAGTGATTAAACACATTTAGTGGTAACCTATTATCACCAAATGGCTACTTTAGCCCTGGTTAAAGTAAAACTTATTGCTGTGTAGATTAGAAAACCATTGTGATTAGTAAAGGTTACTAAATCCTTAAAGTTAAGTTGCTTACAGAAAGCAGCCATTCCCTGGTCTCCTTTAAGTAGTTATTTTGCAGCTTATTGTTAGCTCAGAAGTTAGTTAATTAAATCCCTGAAAAACGTTGTTATAACAACAAATTGTTACAAACTCAGGCAGGGCTGTAATCTGAGAAACAGAAATGAAAACATTTTGGCTAAATGTAGAAAGTTATATTATATTAAAAAAATCTATTTTGATTGCTATATACAATTTTCTAACCTCAGTTGAAAATGAAATCTGTCTTTCTAATGCAAAAGGAATTTCTCAGTGTTGTAGAAATTGCTGGCTGTAAGATTTTTCTGTGAAATCAAGGCATATTGTGTGTGTGTGGTGGGGGGTGGTTCTGAAGAGCTCATGCTTTACGATACCACAGAAACATGTTCCATGGGCTGCAGATACATAAAAGGGGCTTTTACACATCTTTTTTTCAAAACTTTCAAATTTTAATTTAAATTGAACTCTCAACACCAGGAGCTTGGATCAATTTTAGTTTGTTATCAGCTAAATATAAATAAAAAGTGTAACATCAAAGAATAATCTGTCTTCATATACTGACTACCTTGGCAAATTATTAAGATGCTTGTTTTGTTAATAGGAGATTCAGTAATACTGAAATAAATCAGAATCCAATGTAAAATCATAATTGAAAATATACCACTTTTAAATATTTTTCTTCCTAATCGCTATTACTGCTTAATTGAGATGCATTTGAATAAGAAGCTAAAGACCTCCAGTATATGTCAATAATCTTTCTTAGCTCTCAAATATAAGTAAACATCCCCCAATTATCCTGTTCAGCAATTTCTATTCAATGATGAAAATGAATAATTTCCATAGAAAATATGACATTTTGTAAAGTTGAACAATCTACTCCACAAATGTTCTGAAAAATTTTTAATCATGCGTTACTATTTTTGCTACTGATCAAACCATGTGTACATTTTGGTTGATAATTGTCAAAATCCTAGCACTATGGTTAATGCTGGCAAATCTGGGGAGAAGTGCCCATACTTTTGCTTCTTCTAAAGAATGAAATGTTTAGCTATCAATTTTACTAGAGTAGTATAGTCAAAAGAATCAAAAGTGAAGAAGTTTTAGTTTAGCTGTAGAGCAACTATTTAGGAGTAAGCTGACCCCTTTTAGCTATACAGCAACTACTAAGGAGTAAACGAGTTTCATTACTCACAGTCCTTAGGAAACTTTGATCAGTACCCTAGATATTTATGATTCGGCTGACACCGTTAACCATGTATGTGACAAGTACTTCATTGGTTGTTATTCTTCCGTTAAATTTATGATTGCCTGTGGAAGGTAAATTTTACAGCTTCAAAATTAAGTCCCTGAAAACCAAGCATAACCCAGTACAAAGCCTCATTATGTCATCCCGACAATGGTCTGCTTGAAAGCAGCACTGGGGAACACACTCAGCTTTCTTCTTTCTTCCTTCTTGAACTAGCATAAACAAATAAACATTGTTTCATTTCTTTAAACACAGAGCTGGGATGAGAGTAATGTATGAGCTGACCCAACAATTCTGACATTACTATCTAACTTTCTGACTTACTGTCTTACTGTCTGACATTACTCTAACTTTGCAATAATGCAGAAGAGTTTAAAACTTATTAACAAGAGTTAATAAGTTAGCAGGAGTTAATATTTTGACTCCTTTTGTTCCAGAAAAAGCTAGCAACAAAAATCTCCAGCAGGGAGGGGGTTTTTAAATAATACTTTTTAAAGAACTTAAAAGGATTACTAACTATTTTTCATTAATTTAGGATTATTTGTTTTAAAGGAATTCAGGAAACTTCAATGTGGGCTTCAGGTTAAGGCCTATTAGATCCACTCTTAAAAAGAATTACCTCCAGGTAAATAAACATAACACCAAATTCAGCCAAGCTGATCTCTAGGTACTTAAGTCTGGGTGTAAGACAACAAAGTGTAAGACCTGGATTCATAAGAAGTTCTAGAAGGCTGGAATCTCAGTGGGGACTGAGGGTAGAAAAAAGTTAAAAACTGATGCATTTAAATGTAGAAAATAAGAAATTGTTTTAAATTCCAAACTGTTAACTCCGAACAAGGATTTGTTAAATCATTAATTTTCAAAACATCAAGTATCCAAAATTAATTATTTTTAGACCTGTGTGTATAGAAAAGTACATTGGGTTTTTAAAAATATTTTATTTATTATTTTTATTTCATGTGTATGCGTGTATTGCTTCTTGTAGGTAAGTGCACCCATGTTGTGCAATGCCCTTGGAGGACAGAAGAGGTTGTCAGGTCCCCTGGAACTGGAGTTATGGACAGTTGTTAGCCTCCATGTGGGTACTGGGATTCGAACCCAGGTCTTCTGCAAGAACAACCAGTGTTCTTAACCACTGAGCCATCTCTCCAGCCCCAGTACACTGGGTTTTTAAAAACATGGTATGTCCAATTAAATATTATCTATGGTTACCATTCAATGATTCTTACTTAAACTCTGTTTTTAAAAGATTGCCTTTGGTCATTCCAGCAAACTTGGAAGGAGACCCTCAGCAAGTGATTCAGACTACCCAGCTGTTTCTTTGTCTTCTAGGCAGCTTCTCTACCATTTTGCTCTAGCTTTGAGAACCTAGAAATCTAAAAAAATAAAATCTAAAAGGTATGTTTCCACATGGTATAAATTACTTTTCAATTTATTCTGTAAGTTGATTTTCCTTTTATATCAACATTTTAATATATTCTATATCCTTGTTTAACCAAAGTTCCTGAAAGAGACAGGAGATACAGGGGCAGAATTACAAAGGAATCTTTCATGAGCAAGGTAGAACAATCCCTCTAATCTTAGCTGAGATTAGACCCTTTTCCTAGCTTTTCCTAGACCCTTTTGCCTTTCCAGGGCACACATCCTGTACTCTCTTCAATCCCCTAGTGTTTCCTAATACCCTTTGCTGGAGGTCTCTTTCAAGATACCAAAATCCTTCATTCCTCTCCCTAAGCTTTATTTACCCTGGAGACACTTAACTGACATACCACTTCTTCAGGCTCCTTGGAATAGTTCATTTTTGCAAGTATCAAAGTTAGAGTCAGTGCCTACTATTTCTGTGTGCTTCTATTTTAGATGTGATCAGGGCAGGTTGGACTCTGGAGACACAGAACCACCAGCCCCCACTTGCCTGTAAGAACGCAGTGTTACAATGGGGGCCAAACTGCTGCTGGCGCCACAAAACCTTCAGCAACCTTCCCTTCTCACAGCTACTGACAGCACCCCACCGAGGGTATTGTCTGTGAATCTCTAGCTAACAAACTTCAGAATGGGCAGATATCTCACCTGGGGAAGTGAGCTTACATCAAAAAGGAGTATTGGTGGTCACACATCCTGCTTCCTATCCCCCTTTCCTTAGCTGCAGGCTCCTGCTGTGAAACCAACTCCATCCTCTGAAAACTATAAGAAGAGATGACCCCCTCCCCATTTCTTTTTCATGATCCAATTGGCTTTATTCCAAAGATACAAGGATGTTTCAATATATGTAGGTCAATAATTGTAATAAATCACAAAAAGGAACTCAAAGACAAAAATGACATGATCATCTCAATAGATACAGAAAAGGCCTCTAAAAAAATCCATGTGTTCATATTTCTAAAGGGAAGTGGACTGACAGAAACACACTTTAGCATAATTAAAGTTACATTCAACAAACCTATGCCAGCATCAATGTAAATGGAGAAAAACCAGAAGCACTCCCATTAAAATCAGGAACCAGACAAGGCCGTCCACTATCTCCACTATTTTCAGTATAGTGCTTGAAACTCTTACTAGAGCTTAAGACAAGAGAGAAATGAAAGGAGTACTAATTGGAAACGAACAGATCAAATTATCACTATTAACAGATGATATGACTTTTTTTTTGAGGCAGGGGGCTCCAATTCTTCTCTTCAGATCTCCAGTCATATAGTCTGGCTCTGGTACTGGGGGTCTGCACTCTCCTTGGAGTTCTAATAAAATTCTTATGCCCAACAATCCATCACACTGTCCCCTTGAACCCACATCCAAGTCCAGTCCACAGTACCTTGGAACACTTCATTTTTGTGGGAATCAAAGTTATAGTCAGTGCCTATTATTTCTGTGCCCTTCTAGTTTAGATATGTTTAGTACATGCTAGACTTTGGGGACACAGGAAATGAACCAGGCCCCACCTGTCCTCTGATCTTTTATTTATCAGGCATTAAATTGGGTTAGTGTTGACATAGCATACAAGTAGATAGATAATACACATATGTACCTTTAAAGACACTTTTAGAACTTCATTTAAACCACCTGTTATTGTTTTTACACTCTAAATGTGGCCATCATTTACCAGAAGAAATAGTGGGAAAATGTGTCTGGCTCTAATCATTGCTTATATAGAGATGGATCCGTCAGCGATGAATATACTCATGATAAAACACATAACGACATTGAAACTTCCCAAGTGAGGGTCAGTACATTCTTTTTCTATTTTAGTTTTAAAATTTCTTTTGCATTTTTAAATTGAATTTTTGAATTTTCATACGATATAGTTTGATGGCTTTTAGATTCACTCCCCTCTCTGTACCTCCCCACTTGGATAAATTACCATCATACTTGAAGTGACTGAGCTAATCAATGACAGAGCTGGAACTGGTGTCCAGGACTGTGGGGCCCCCAACACCAGACTATGGGCTGAAACCCACTTTTCAATGACATTCATTATAAAAGTAACATATTTCACAATCACTTCTGTGAATAATATAGGGAATTACCACATTTAGTTTCAGCTGTTTCCTCACTGTTCGAAATAACCACTTTTCTTAAGCATTCAATTTCTGTGTAGCACCCAATGAGGTACACACTTTGCTGGACTCTACCCATTTGCAATAATGATTTGTTGTCAGTCGACTAAAAAGTTTCTCCTTTTGGTTTCTGAATGACTACTAAACATGAAATTTAACCATTCTTCCTGGTGAATAAGGTTCAGTTTTAGACAGTAAAAGTAACATGTGGTTTGTCTTTTGACACACGTGTAGTGTATTATACTCTAAATTCTTACAGAAAAGATGATCATCAACACTACTCAAATGCATGAGGAACTAAGTAAGATTCATGAGGGCAGGTGGGGCCACCATGTGCTGAACAGACCAAAAAGTAAGACAAAGATATCTTCAGATCTTGACCATATTATAAATATGTGGTAGATTTTACATAAAAGATACTTTTTTGTTTAATTACTTGAGCATTTTTTTTTAAGTGGGAGAAATACCACTTTATACCACATGGGAAAGTGGTATAGTGGATTCACTGAAGAATGTCTTTGATGTACATCATGAGCTGGTTCTGATGGTGATAAAGCAAGAAACCATGTGTGTGTGTGTGTCTGTCTGTCTGTCTACACTAATGAGGGCTGCACAAAGGAACAGCAAGTTGCAAACATTTTTCTGATTATCTCCACAAGATCTGCCGTTAAATTATCCCCAAGGATTACTGTTTCAGAAATCTAAAGAGTCCAAAACATTTTTAAAGGACACTAGGAAGTTTTTTCAAAATCAAACTGAACATATTGTAGTGACTGAAACAGAAGTTTCAACCTATTGTAGTGGTTTTAATTGCATATTATACAACATGCTACTACCATATCTATTGATCATTACTTTGAACTTTGACAGCAATAGTGGATGCTTCCTGTCTTTTCTCCTCTAACACACCCCCTACTCCAAACCACCAACAGTGTTTTCAGCCCCACTTTATTCAGTGACCTTCAAAGGAAAGCATTCAGGAAAATAGGGCACTGGCAATTAAATCAGCCAGCCAACAATAAAGGCAGCTAAGATGTCGAAATGGGATTGCTCTCATTTTTCTAAACAAAACAGGAAAAAGTATTCATAGCATTCTGCAATTGGCTCTATTACAAACAAATTATGGTAAGCAGATTTTAAGAAACTATCTAGACATTTCACCAACTCTAACATATCCTCATTTGTGCAATAAATTTCTGGGGTATATGCTCAGATATACTGCTACCTTTATCACAGGATGCCAGTACTGAGAAACACATGTTTTCCAGAAACTTCAACCTTTTAAATCAGACTTTCCTCATTGCTTGCCTGCAAGATAGCACTCACTAAGACATACTAAGGACAGACATCATCAACTCTGGAAAACAAATGTTTTAAAGAGAATCTTAAAAGTTCAAGTTTTGTGAATTGCCTGGTTTTTGTATAGGGAGAAACCTGGCTTGCCTTCTGTGACTTCGCTGAAGCTTATCGCAGTTACCTGATGCCCTACATAGAAGACAGGAATTTGACAAGGGAGAAACAAGGATGGTTCACAGTAATTAGCCTACTTCTGGGCCCTAAGAAGAGATCAGAGTGGCCTCTTAGTGTCTGGAAACAAACTTCAGCATAAGGGGCTGCCACTCTCCCGAGTTCTTCCATTAAGGTGACTAAAAGTCACAGTTACTTTTTAAATACTAACCTGCTTTGTCCTGGGAGTCATCAAACTCCACGTTGAAGGAGTGGCCATTGTTGAGAATCCTCCGGGAAGAGGCTTGGTCATAGCAGACAGACACAGGCTGCAGGGAAGGGTCATGTATGGCAGTCCTGGTGTCAATGTCAACAGGGGACTGGCGCTCTCCGTTGGCAACAGGGAAACTCTTATGCCAGTGCTCAGGTCCTGAGGGTGAGAAGACATCTGTGAAGTTATCAGCAAAGGAAAAGGACAGCAGACCACAAGATGAGGCCAATGATTCTAGAGCCTGTCAGCTCGGTTCCCATTTTGGTGGTGACTTAATAGCGCAGTAGTGTTTAGTAAAACAAAGTGTGCCTCTGTTTCCTTACTTGTTACATAGGCTGATAATATTGCAAATATGATACTATCATACAAATATTACCAATTCTGAGGTCTTTTTACTTGAATTCAACGACTGAAACTGGACAGGCTAAAGTGAGGGATGGGTTGAGCTTGGGATTCTCAGAGGTCCGGAAGCTCCGGGCTGTCACAATGGGTGAGTACAGACCACAGACGAAGCCTCAGGTACAGACACCCTGTCTTCAGAATCCCATCTACTAGAAAGCCCATAGCCTCCAAGATGAGGCAAGTGCACCTCCTCTTCCCTCCGCTTGCCTCAGACAACAGGTCTGTGGCCCGGATAACGACCAGTAATTGGTGATTAACCCTCTCACGTTAGAAGTTGAGAAATGAATGGGAAAACTCGGGGACCAACTCCCGGGATTAGATTCGAATGGGCTCCAGAAGAGGCTGGTGCTGAAGTGCGCAGGGAATCCTAGCCACAGGTGCGGTGGAGACTGACGCCCAAGGGAGAAGGGAGTCCCTAAAGCTTCCTACCACCTAAAACTAAAACAAGCCTGCCGCGATTCTGCCTAGGTCTGCATAGAGTGGCGGGCTGGGGACCCCGGGGTACTGTCTTCGGTACTCTGCGCTGGGCTGTCCCTCCTGGGCCCCGCGCGCGGCACTGCGGGCGCGAGATCCTCGACAGCGCTAGGACTAGGGCGCCTGGGACGTCCCTACGGGGGACCGGCTCGGGGACCAGGCTGGAGAGTCGCGCTTCGGGAGCCACGGGCTCCGCGGTCCTGGCAGGTGCCTGCGGGGACCCGGAGCGCGCGGCCGGAGCGCGGCCTCCGCACTCACCGTTCTGCCCGCTGTATCCCCAATGATGGGACATGGTCGCGCCGGTGCTCCAGGCGGGACAGCAGCTGTCGTTGGTCTGGCGGCCGTGCCGTGTGTGTCGCGGGTCGCACGGTCCGGCTTTTATAGGCTCCCGCCAACTTCGTGCTCTGGGCGGCCCAGGGGAGGGACCGAGTGGACCTGGGCTAGGGGAGGAGACGGTGGAGACGACGAGCGGAGGTGGCGGGCGGAGGTGACAGGCCGAGGTGACAGGCTCCGGGCTCCCGGCTCGGGCTGCCGGGCCGGGGCGGGGCGCCCTCGGGCTCCTCTCGGCTTCTGTGTTCGACCCGCTCCGCAGCGTCCGCGCACTCCGCACCTTCCTGGGCGCGGCGCTGCCTCCCAGCCCGGCGTCCCCGGCCCCATTGTGAGCTCAGCACCGGAGCGCTGTCCGGGCCACCCGCCCTCGAAGCCGGGCTTCGGCTCCGAGCGTCGCCCTCCTGTCCCGCCGCGGCCCGTAAGCCGGCTGCGAGTTTGACCTTGGGCGGGGTGCGTCCTGACAGCGCAGGGAGCTGGGATCCGGAGCGGGGAGCCGGGGGCCCCCTGCTGCCCAGCTCCGGGAAGGCGACCCGGCCTCCGCGCCTGGCTCCAGCTTCTTACTCCCGGTACAATTAACCCAGGGAGTCTAGATGCCTAGTTCTGTGTTCATTTAAAATAGCCAATACATCTCCCAAACCTCTTTTCTCAGAGGGATCAGGTAAAAGAATGTCTTCCAAAGAAGTGAGAACTTTCCCTGCCTGGCAAAGGAAATTATATCTAGCATGCCTAGGCAATCAAAATAAATTGATCAAAAGGAGAGGTGTTTTTGAAGGCAGGTAACACTAAGGCTTTCAGGATGTCCCAGGGAGGCATTTCCGAATGTACTGGTATAAATGTTACTATCTTATGTGTTTAAACATTTTCCTTGATCTAATACTTTGTTTTGCCCATTCTGATGTGGAGAACATTTTGTAGACACCTGAGTCTATGTGGACCAAAGCCCCGTGCTTATAGAAGTCTGGCTGTTTGGCAAAGGTGTAGCAAAGGACTTGATCGCCTGCCCCCCACCCCCAAAAACATACAGAAGAAAAAAAAAGGAAAGAAAATCAAAAGCAAGGGGCTCTTAGGGAGCAGAATTCCCCTCTGTGGACTCTGATTTTTGTGAGCATAGTTTTTGGAATTAAAATTGAGCAGAATATGGTTCTTGTGTTTGTATCGGCCTAAACATCACATTACTTATATTTTAAAATCTGCGAGTAAATTAAATGACAAATTAAAATATGAGTACATTTTTGCAATGTTGCCAAAATTATTGAGTGCTATTTATTTCAGTCAGTTCCACACAAAGATAATTCACATAACATCTCCTTGCTCTTATTTTAAGACTCCAGAAAAGTGTGCCCCTCTCCACACAGGTGTCCTTCAGTTGATGTCACAGGGAATTTTTATACAAAAGAGCATCAAGTTTTTAGATTTCTAGGACCATTATAAAATGCAGTTCACCAAGAAACCTTTCATCTGTGACTCTGTAGCTGCATAATCTCTTGTGGGTATATCATTCCCCACCCTGGAGCCCACTGTGGAGCCCACCGTGGTTTTACCAGCATGGATCGAATAGGAGCAGATTTTAATTAAGTACCTCTCACACTTCAAATCCCACCAAGCTGGATTCTGGTTACTAGGAATTTTCCTCATCTCTGCTAGTTAGCAGTGGGAGCCATGCCCCTGCTAGGGAGTCTCCCATGTCTACCTTTGAACTCTCAAGAGATTCAAATGTGTCCCCTGCTTTTAGTTTTCAGATTACAGTGGCTGCCTGAGCATTTTCTTTCTGCCCAATTTTTCTTGATAGAGACAGCTTCATACCTTCAAGCACTTCATCACAATCTAACTTGATATTACTGGGGGCATTCTTCCCAGCTGTCATGATCCACTGGCTGCCAGAGACTAATAACACTAGATTAAAAACAAGAACAACAAAAACTGTACGTACGTGCCTGTGTCTTTTTAGAAGGAAGGATTGGTTCCATAAGAATGATCCCAAATAAACAGCTTGAATAGTACTTGAAAAATATGTACGTTCTTCTGCCTCAGAAAACAAAGATGATAATAACAATATGATATATCAGGAAAACATAAGAAATGTTATCTGTGTTCCAATTATTATAATAAAAAGTCATTAACAAGGCTTGACTCTACAAATTTTTAAAATAAAATGAGAAAGTATATATATATATATGATTTGTTCAATATTTAAATGAAGTAGGTACTCTCATGGTTGTTACAATTGGAATATTAATATCAGTAGCGGCTGAGAGCCACTCACTTCTACCGGCTCCCATAGCCCTATGCATAGGCACCTCTCTATCCTACTGCTTGTGATACAGCATTCTAGTCAGGTTCTATATTGTAGTCATCTATAATACACCCCCCCCCGCCATGTAAGCTCTTGACTGCTCACTTGCAAAATGAGAATAATGATGCTCAGCTTAGGATTGTCAGAAGAACTCTGACTACATGTTAATTGCCTGTCACCTGAAACCATCAGCACAAGTCATGGCTTTAGAGTTCTTCATGGACAATGCTGGACAAAGACAACGCAATGGATGCAAAAGTAAACACTTAGGTAAAAAGAAGGGGGTCCGAGCTGTTTGGATGTATGTGTGTGTGTGTGTGTGTGTGTGAGAGAGAGAGAGAGAGAGAGAGAGAGAGAGAGTATTTGGGGCATGAAGCATCCCTTCTTTACACTTACACTGAGCTGCTAGAAGTGAAAACTGCATCACACTGCTGATCTTTACATCCTAGGTACTAGTAACCTTTTCCTAAACTGAGTCCTGGAACCCACAAATAGCTGCTCACATAAAGCTCTTTGAAATTACGATGTTTTCATTAATCTGAATGAACACAACAACTACTTCGCTCTAAGAAGCTGTTGGTTAAGAAGAACATTGTATTAAAATTAAACTGGCTTTGAATGTGAGATAATTCATTAGCTCTATGACCTTGGGAAAATTGTTTTATATATAGTATATGAACATTGCTTTATTGACTTATGCGTGTGCAGCCATATGTGAAATCCATCTTCAGGGTTTCATTATGTAGGCTAAGGTGGCTTTGAACTCTCAATCCTCCTGCCTTAGCCTCCCAAATGGAGGTTTTAGGTGCATGCAATCATGCTAGGACAAATTGTTTGATATTGCTAAGATTCAGCCTCTAGTTTATAAAATGAAGGTAATAATATCCATGTCGTAGTCTTTCTGAGAACTAAATGATAGGATGTGTAAAAGGATTCAGCACTGTGCAAACAATTACAGTTTATTATGTCTGAGTTATCTTTTTTAATGTTGTATTTCTTGAGCCCCTATTGAGTGCTTGATATTGTCCATGTACTTTGTGGGCTTTATAAGGTGGCTCTGTTCATTGACCAAGATCTTAAGTGAGAGCCGTCATCAGCCCAGGGCTACTGCTAGGTCAACCTGCTTGTTCTCATAAAGTTCCTATAGAATGGACACGAACACAGCAGTGAACATCAAGCAAACAATAATAAAGTGAATCCCAGCAGTGCCAGCGAGCATGGAGCCCACTGCACAGGAATGAAGCAGAGCGCAGCTCAGAAGGAAAGGCCACTTTAGGCACAGAGTCCTGGGAGTACTGCTGAAGGAAGCCCAAGGAAGGGCCTGGAGAAGGACAGTTCAGGCACAGGAAACAATTATAAAGTGCCTGTGCATGCAAGTTTCTAGAACAGAGAGTCTGTGGCTTTGGCACTTGGATCAAGAAAAATAAGATATGTAATGACATCAGAGGCAGACAGGCGTTGAGGTTGGCAAAGCCTTACAGACCACCAGACCATGGAAGGAGTTTATGCTTAATGGTACAAGAAAGTCAGTGAGAGGGTGTAAGAAGGAGAAGGGTACAAACTGTAATGGGGAAATTAAAAGTTTTCAGATTATCTATTCCATCTCTTCATTTTACAGATAAGGAACAGGTAGGGGTTCTGTGTGCCTTGTGCTACCCCTACCCCCTCTGCTTTACCTTTTTATGAACTGCCTTTATAAAAAGATTCCAAGCCTCCTGGTATAGAAGCCATCTAACCCCTGCTCTGACTTCCCTTTTGGCCTGTGAGTCTCTCAGCATTCTCCTACAGGAATGGGAGGCAGCAACACACAGTGGTCAAGAGCCAGGCTTTGTGGATTTGAACCAGGTCTCTAGGCCTTACCTACTGCATAAACCTGTATGATCTATTTTACCTCCCCTTCCTCCAGTGCTCCTATGTGAAATGTAATAGCATACCCAGGATAACCGAATGATAATCTAATTTATGTGGCTTAGTGTGATGCCTCCTACTTGTCAGCTCCTCTCTTTGGTTCATTGTTATTGTAGAAGGGAGGAATAGATGTGTGAAATTAGAACCACATTTTCAGTGTGAGCTGAGTTCAGCTTCAGGCTCCAATATATAGTAGCTATATAGCCCTGAGCATGTTAGGCAATCTCTCCGAACTTCTCCTACTTCATTTATAAACTGGGGAGAGAATTCTAGCTGCAGAATGAGAAAGAATGCCTGGAAGATGTCGAAGGTCTGGCATATTTTCATGCTTGAATAAATAATATAATGTTCATTATAATACCTTCCATTGAAAAATGATAGATTACTTTTCTGTGTCACTAACTTGGATTGAAAAATTAACATGCTTGAGTTCTTATACTCTAAAAATAATGTATTAAAGCTGTTCATGTACCAACACAGTTCTGATTGCTTTTGCTTCTGTCTGCTTTGCAGCCAGGGACCCCCAAGGGACAAAGGGAAGTTGCTTGACCCTAGATCATTCCTCTGGAAGCAATCGAGCCAGATGTGAACCAAAGAGCCAACTCTAGTTTGAACCCTCAGCCACCTGCCATTTGGCCTCCTGAGAGCCAGTGCAGGGCTCCTTGTCAAGGCCCCTGCTCCATGGTGCTGCAGTAACTACATGTTAAGATGGTGTGTGGAGCCCTGCTCTGTAAAGTTATATCAACATGCTGGGCACTTTTAGAGCATCCTGCCAAACTCCCTCTAACTGCAAGGTGGGTAAGAGATAACACTAACTTACAACTATAAACAGTTGAGTTCAACTGCCTTTAGGAAACTATTTTCTGGATTTTTAGTGTTTATTTTCCTCTTTC